TTTCCGCGCGGGAAAATGTTGGAATGTATGAATTAAAATCAATTTTTGGTGGTGTATATTATCTCACTGTTTTAGTATATACCAAAACAACTAACCACCTCCACTTCGGTGAATAGTTGTTAATTATAAGAATACCACTGATAAGAACGCGACAGTGCGTCTCGCTAGCAACACTCCCATAGGGCGTTACAGTTTCCCTACTGTTCCGTGAGTTTAGTCCACGACAGCAAAAACACTACAGTAACCACAGGGAGCCTATACAATCTGTGTAGCCGACTGTTGTTTTATAGTGAATGTACCAGATTTACCGTTTGCCTCACCTAAAGTCGTCCTTTTGCCTCAAAAATGTTTTTTTAAAGCGATGTTGAATAAGTCTGAGTTCGTCGTTAATGTAATGCATAAAACGATGAACTCAGACTTATTCAAAATCGCTCAAAAAAAAAAAAATTGAGGCAAAAGGACGACTATGCACCACAGGTAAAGTAATTCGACGTTTATTTATCAAGGATTTGTGTACATAGTCAGCAATATATCACTTTAGGTGAGGCAAACGGTAAATCTGGTACATTCACTTTAAAACAACAGTCGGCTACACAAACAGATTGTATGGGCCTCCTATGCAGTAACGTACACACCTTAAAAGATATAAAACAAAACATTTCTGAGATACACGATCTGAACTTTATCACAAGCTAAATCTAAAATCCGGGCGCAAACAATCGATGAAAACAGCAAATTGCTTGAATAGCCGGATCCGAAAATCTGTTACTTGAAAAAATTTCGCATTGCATCCGAAATTTGGCAAAGGCAGTTTTAAAATCTGCGCATCCGTTGGCTTTTTCGACCCCGTCTGCACGGCTGGCCTCATAGGAAGCGCAAGCATGCGCACGGAAGGTGGTCACGCCATTTGATCATGTGACACGACAAGTTACCACAGAGTTCCGAACATGTGGGAGGCGAACATGAGTAGACGAGATCGTGCGAAATATTTGTAAGTATGATGCGTTCCGTTTCATAAATCATAAAACTGTGAAGAGTGGGAAGAAGATGAACATGTAAGTAGTCTTTCAAATATATTTCGCTTTACTTCAGTAAACCATGCGTCCTAGAATTTCATCGGAACTGATTCATTCTCGGCTCCGTCTGTTGTTGACGCAATTTTTGCTCTTTATTTGTCTTTGCAACCTTCTCTCGTTTATTACACGCTCTGTTTTTCTGTGTTTCCGTTGCTCAAGGGTGAATAATTCACTCGGTTGTAAGTTGTCGTAGCTTTGTTGCGAGGTGAACCAAAATTTAAACGGGAGAGTTGGCCATCGACTTAAAACTGACAGCGATCTCGTTTTCCTGGGCATTTATATCAAATTGTAGTATAATTTCGGCCGAGGGTCGGTTAGCGTCAAGCTGTTTCGATGCCTAGGCAAACGTTGGGTTTACCAGGAGCTCGCACACGGGGTGGAGGACACTGAACTGCTTTACAATCAACTGAATCTCCTTTGTTGCTTGAATCAAGGTTCTTATATACCTAATGGTAGCTAAATCATGCGTGATACAAAATACAGAAGATGATACTAGTTTCCCTTGGCATAAAGAACTTAATTACCACATATCCGCAATTTAACATATATGGGAGAACACATGCGTAAATCCTGCGGAACTAGTGTTCATACATGTTTTTAGATGGAAAGCCTGAGCAAGTTTACATATTCCATGCGACACGTAGCAGGAATATTTTCATGGATACTCTAACAACTAAGAATTACACATAAGTCGTATTTCCAACTTTAATTCTAACAGCGTGCGCTCTGATTGGTCAATTTAGTGTCCCCCATTTGCCCATGGGTGTACGCTGCTGATGTGAGCAAAGACTATTTTTCCACGCACGCTTGTTTTTTCTGGTCGCGTAAGATTTGTTAAATGAAAGGGAACTCTTTAGCTGCAATGTATCAATGTTATAAAACAAAGGGTAAACACCACAGCATACACTATTGAGTTATGGATGCACTTGGGAGGTTTGCTAAGCACTCAAGAAGCTAGAGTCGCTTTCGGCTACTGCTTCGAGCGACTCTTGCGCTTCTTTCGTGCTTAGCAACCTCCCGCCTGCATCCATAACTCAATAGTGTACGCTGTGGTGTTTACCATTTGTTAATTATGTAATCAAAGCTTATTCTAGAATTGTTTGTCATGCTTTGGCGTGCTATGCTTAACTTTACAACAAAGTGAATTGCAAAATCTTTTTCTAGCGTTTGAAATCTACGTTTGGTTGTATCTGCTATAAAGTTGTAAAAACATTACGTAAACTTATTTTCAAGTTGCCAGAATTACTGTGATCAAATAACGGCCAATTTCACTCTGTAGACATCACACTGTGATTTATAAACTAAAACTCGTATCAGCACTTGATACCTTTGTTCATCCATGGAGTTATCTGTGGTGGTGGAGACCTAAGTGAAGCAAATGTGAATCGAAACAGTCTTGGCTGGCCTAGCTGTTTCTAATTTCCTTTCTCTCAATAGGGCATCAGCTAAAAAATGTGGAACAATGGTCACCATCGAGGGAATAATTATGTCAACACATGTGCACGTCTACTTTCATTGAAAATTGAACTTAAGGTAATTCTCTTGAAATTGTTCTACTCTCAAACTTTTGAAACTTGTTATAATAAACATTCATGATATAAACATTTAAAAAATGCAATAAAAAAATGGGGCCACTGTGCTTGGTTACATGTCAGCAGGCTCTTAAAATGGGGAATTTTTACTGGTTGTGCATGGAAAATTTGAATCACCTTTATACAGAATTTAGCTTGGTTAACTTGAAAGACACAAAGTTTTATTTTGAAATTAAAGCTTTTATTAAAATAAGCAGTATTGCTTCATTTTAGCTGTTTTTAATCGTCTGGTTTTGGGGATTTTGCTCTTTTTCGGACAGTTCTGTGATTAGCTTGAAGTCCTTACCGTGGCCAAAATACCTAAAGTGTGGAACTATTTTCTAAAAAAAAAAATCATGTTCTACTATTAAACATTTTTCCTTCAAATTCTTCTAAGAAAGAACATATTCTTCAAATATGTTCTTTCTTAGACTGTTCTTAGCAAACACTTGAAAACAAATTGGGTGTCACCATTCTTGTTTCCTCACAAACTGCTGTGAAAGGTGGACATGGTTTTGAGATCACAGTCATCTCGTGTCATATGACGCTCCTATTTAATTGCCACATTTTCCTTCTCCACAAGTTTCTTTCACTTTTTAAACTTTCCAGACATGATTCCTTTGCCAACTTTTCAATTTTGGGCCCTACTTCCCTCTTGTGAGCCTTCAGCATGGACTCTCCAAGTGATGGTACATTTATAGATGACAAAAACTCATCTACATGGGTAAGACCTATGCCTGCATGTAGTATCCTTATAAATATGTCGATTCAACGTATTAAAAAAATTGGCTGGCTGTTAAATGGATGCTTTAGTTGGGGAAAACAATATTTTTAGCAACATTAAATGGAAACAAACCTGCTCCAAGCTCCACATTTACATCAAAGATTGATCTCCCTCATGTTGTTCCAGTGCTACGATGGGTCTTAATTGTTCGAAAGATATTTGTCTTTCCACACGTGGAGTTTGAACAGCATTTGTAGAGTAGTGATCCTAGCCCAGAGGCTGTTTCTTTTATGCAGTGGGAGAGCCATAGAGCTGCCCCACTGCCTTCATAGCCCCTGTCCAAAGCCTCAGTGAGGACATTTAATTCTACAACTTGATGGCTGCAAAGTGGAAATCCACTGCAGGCTCCCGGATCACGCACATTTTTTTCATTTTCTTGTTTTTTGAGAGCAGACCAGGAAGCTGTCAGCTGATTTGCAGCATTCTTATTACGAATAAATGCTTTCACTCTGCAAAAGCGGCCCATGTCTGTTCTTTTCGAGCTAGTGGGAAAAAGGCTGCCATCTTGGATTTTGCAATGTTATACATAGAAAAGGTTGCGCAGTGCAAAACAAGAGAATCGCCTTAAAGAAGAGGCTGCAAAAAACTTAATGGACTAATAACCAATACTTCTACCTCTACTTTATTAAACAATAAAGCAGTATGCCTATCACATCAGCTCAATTAAAATATATATATATACATTCAGTAAATAATTGTGAGGATAGGTTTTCGTGCACAAACTAAACTCTCGCAGAAGGCACAACAATAATGGGGGAAGCTAGCTCAGGAGAGATGGCTTGGCAGTGAGAACAAAAACTTGGCACGATTTCCTGGTACATGGTGATCTACTTCAAGCAAGCTTTTACAGACAACAAGGATAAGAAAGCATTTGGTTCCACAGTGACTTGATTACTTGGTCAGGTCAACAACGGACATGACCTTAAGTATGCTCAACTTAGAAATCAAAGATGTAATCACAAGAGGAAATCAAGGATGTAATCAACAAAGCTTTACAACGGACTTGCCTAAGTACTATCAAGGGTGTGGTCCTATTGTTACACAAATTTACAATATTTGAATAAGGACACAGATAAGTACAAAAAGTCTCTTTGAAGTTGAACCAATTCCTACTTAATATTTTGTTGTTGATTTCACAGAAACATTTGCCCGAGTCGAAAACTCGACTCGCCAGTAAAGGAGAGGTTTTCTGCAAACAGAAAACACGCTTAAAACAAACGAAATTACAACATTAACAACTGAAATGAAAACTCACCGACTGTTCGAGCTTAGGGTTTTCAAACAATGACAATAAAACAGCAACCAAACATTCTTGAAAATGAACGTGACGATTTTTCCTCTCAAAAGCACATGGGAGATTGCCCGGATGTTTACGTGAACATAGGCCCGCAATGGGAGTTACATATTTCCAGCTGATCGGAAAGAACTTAGAGAACAGAGATTAAACTCTCAACTTCAAAATTAGAAATACTTATCTTATCGTAATTATGGTAGAGCAGCTTTGGAAATAGAAATGAAAAAATTTCTGCTTGTCCATGCAAGGTTAGTGTTAAATTTGAGTGCATGAAAGTAAATTGAAATTATGAGTACAAACTAAGCTGCCTACTACCATGAAAACCGACTCTTCTTGAAAGACCATTAACACTTCTATGACCTAAAATTTCACAAGATGACGATGATGGCGGTTTCTTCAAATCTGAAAATCAATGGGAAGATGTCCGCTGGTTGTGATCAAATGCTCCGGTTTTGGGGGTTGTGTGACAGCCTGCTGTCTTCTCTGGTGCTTGGTGTCGGCTGCCAGCTTTCTGTCTTCTTCAAAATGTTATGTGGCCACCTTGGTTGTGGCTCATTATTGCCAGGAATCTGGGAAATTTAGAGCCTGCGCATATCAGCGGTAATCTTACAGAAAAAAATGGCGGCCGTAGGCTCCAAGAGAAAGCGTCCGATCATAAATTACAAGGATTTGAATGAAATATCGTGTGTTGTTTTGTATGACACTACCAGAAAAAGTAAAGGGAAGTTTTTTGAAGTGGATAGGCTCATTGAGAAGAGGAAAGCCGGATAGCTTCCGGTTAGAGGTGGCTGGAAGAAACTTTTTTGGGGAGAATTTCTTTAATTTCCATGCCATGCTAAGAAGTTTGAAAGTGAAGTCTTCTGTCCCTGTAGTTGTACAAGCTGACTTTGATGTGCAGAGGTATCTATGGAGAGATAGAGGGGTTGAATCTGAACACCCTGGACACAAACTTTACAACAAAGAAGACTTCTTCCGTTTTACCACCCTTCCTAAGAGCTGGTGGTATTACCTTGATCTCCATGGACAGGGTAAATCTGTGGATTTCCCTTGAAAATGAAATCTCTTTTAAGCTGGACTCTGGTTCAATACACTAAAGATAATGGAATGCTGAAGCAGGCACCACAAGCACCAGTTGAAAAAGTGATAATACACTTTTGCAAGAAAGCATGCAATATTACAAAATTGTGAAGCTAGTTAATTACAGAATGCAGGGCCACTGTTTTGTTCATCATCAATGCCTCTCCAATTGGCCCAGTTCCAATGAGAGATTGGACATTTCCTAGAGCTTCAATTAGAATTAGTGTATTGGCTTAAATTTTAAAACCCTATCATCAAAAATCAATCATTTGTATTGTCAGAAATAGCTTTCCTGAGAATTTCCCTCAGCTTGTCTTCTCTCCTACATTTGGTAGCAATTCCCATTTCTTTGAGTTACC